TGATCGTACTGCACAAGATAGAGAGCGCATCTTGCACTGTGTTCTCATACTGTTTTGCAGAGGGCTGTAGCACTCAGTTGCTTATACTGTTTGAGGCTGCTCTCTTAGTAGAGATAATATTCTCTACAAATTTACAGTAATTTCCCATGACTTCTTGTTGCTTTTTGTAAGGTGCCGTAACATAATGAAGGTTGCTCAAGCTAAACTTGAAATGATAAAGCCAGATGAAGTAAACATGGAGGAATATGAGGTCAGTATTTTTTATGCTGTAAATTAAACTGTAACACGAAATAATTATAAATATGCTGTAGTTCTGAATTTATCTTAACAAATTTCTTCTTGTCTTACCTTGAGAAGCTAAAACTAGTTATTGAAAGACCATTTATCTGTAGGAAGGCTGCTCTGACCAGTTGACCTAAGCTATAGGCCTTTTTTCCACATCTGTAGTTCTGAGGTCAAATTTGGCTTGAGCCATAAATAAATGTCAAGTTTATTTAGTCTGTCTTTACTCCTTAATGTGTCTTGATGTCACTAACAGCATTTCATAACTCAGTACCATAAGAGCTGGTTGGCTTTCTCTATTCAGAAGTTATTAAGCAGTAAAGAAGTGAGAAGGGGTATCAGCCCAGCCTTACGCATCTTGAGATCTGTGTCATAGGCATCAAGGTTACGTTTGTGTTTTTTTTCTCTGACTGTCTTTGCAGTCATTCTCATTTGCTTATAAGCACCAGATTCTTTCATGTGTTGAGACCACATTTAGCCACGTTATGCGTTTAATTTCCCTCCTATACTATTTAGAAAAACTTTGAATTGTTGCTTAGAGAAATGAGCAAATCTCAGACACTAAATTATTGTCACTTTTATTTGCCAAAAGACTCGGTCTCATACTTAAAGATAAGTCTATAGTTGGTTTTACATGAGTTTCAGCTTGTAATTCTGTACCTTAAGGCCCCTGAACTAGGGTTAATTATACCCTCGGTGGATTCCAGTGCACCACTTAAACCTTATCATTATGCTCACTGGTACAGACAGTTCCTTGTTCAGGAGGGCTAGGGAAGTAATCTTCTGCTCGCCAAACTGAGTAAAAAAATACATAGTCAGCATTTCTCTTTACCAGATTTAGGATTTACAATAGATGCTACTACACTGCAATGTGTCTTCCATGGCCCGTGAGGGGAAAGGACGAAAGGTCTCGTAGAGATGGGCTTTCTGTTGCACGTTTTAGGCTGTGCAAGGCTCAGTATATTACCATTTTCTGTATGGCATTGCGCAGGTAGAATAAACCGTTCTGTACTTAGCTTTCAGAATGGGGATGGAGGAGTCTTCTGTCTTTTTTTTTCCCTGCCCCTGAGGTAAAAGGCCAGTGGTTTCTCCAAAGATAGTATCAATATAGTGAGTTGGCATTTCATGGAACCTTTTCCATGCTCTTTGTGATGAATCCATAAATGGCTAGCTATTATGGTATGCTGTCCCTTATTTTATTTTTAATGAGCAATTGGAAGTTGGCTACTAACCAACTGGAATAAAAGCACCTTTCTCACCTGAAACATTTACCTGTACAACATACTAGTAGTCACTTTGTATAAATGGTGATGCAATAAGATTAATGTTTTGCTCTAGTATAAACACTGTTTTTATCTCCAGTCTGAAGTGCTTGATAAGACATGATACCTTTTTGTCACTTCCCATTTAATGTGCTCGGGCTTTTTCTACCTCATTCATATATTGAAATTTAAGCTTAGTGTATAAAGAGGCTCTCACACTTACTAGGGAAATAAAAAAAGGGGAGGAAAAAAGGAATTTCATATAATTCTGACTGTAGTTCTGCAAAGATGCTTTGCATTTCTTTCAAATGATAATGCATTCTGTAATAAATAAATAAATAAATCCTATCTAGAAATATTTCAGGTATGTAAGAATTTTCCTTTTATTAAGGGTGGGGGAATTCAGACTGACTTTTCCCACATGCAAGCTTACTAGGAGTCCTTATCACTTACTATGAGTATTCAGCACTAAGTAAAGTGTGTAAAATATTTGTATTTCACGTTTGTGGATGAAATTCTAAATACCCTTTCTTATATGCAGAGGTGGCATCAAGACTATAGAAATTTCAGGGAAACAACCATGTTTCTCATGGTAGGATTGGAGTTTTTCCAAAAAAAGAGGTAAGTGGTAGTATAGAACTCAAATTCGGTAGAGTGATTTGAAGGCAAAATGTAATAGTGATATGTAAAAAATTAAGAAATATGTAATGTGTTCTTCATTTCATTTAAATATTTAGTCGGTCCGTTAATTTCTTCAATCTCGCATCTACCTCAGCTTTCTACTCTTAATTTTGATTTTTTTTTCCTAATCAAGCCATGAACTCTTTTCAGAGCATCCCCCACATGCACCTGTATTCTTCCACCTCTCCTACTCTCAGTGCTGTTTGTGGGTATCCCTTCGACTTACGAATCTTTCTTTTCCTGCACCACACACGTGCACATGCATTCAGCTGCTTTCATCAGCCATCACAGTTAAGCCCCCTACTTTGCCCGTCTTTTTTCTGGCTCTTCCCACAGAGGCAGAGTTTAGCCTACTGTGTTTGTTAGGGCCAAAATTTCACACATGATGATTTTTAAAGGACAGGAAAGGAGAATGTATTTGAGAACTGTCAAGCGTAAGTGTTCTAGTTCTGTTCTTCCTTCTCCGGGAAGGCACCTTGGACTGTAAAATGTCAGTGTTCTCACTAATCCACTCCTAACCATAATCTGTTCTGAATAGGCTGGGGGAGGGAAGGGAACACAGTTCTCTGTTCTATGCTGAACAGTATTTTTGGTATGGGTTTCCAGTATTTAGGTTAATTTGCAAAGTAAGAATGAGGCAGTTGTTATCAAGTATCTTCATAATTTAGAAGCAGGCTTAGAATGACTAATCTGAGTCTCTGATATTGGCCAGAAAGAAAAATATGCGATGTTATCAGACTCACTGATCATTCAAACATGTGTAGCATTCATTCTCTTCGGCAAAAAATGTAATTTCATAAATGCTTAAAGAGAAGTTTAATGAGAAGATACTAAGACTAGAGTTAAGCATGCTTGGATGAGTAGGGATCTGGGTATCTATTTACCTACTTTAAAGGCATCCATTGCAGTTATGCTCCTTTGTTTCAGCTGCAGGTTCCCCTATGACTGCAATATTTATTGAAGTTCACTTCTTGTACACTGTAAAGGGCTGTGCTACCATTCTCATTTTGAAAATGAGACTGACTTGATGAACTCCTCCAATTCCCTCTCATGACTCCCCCCTTTAACTCTGGCATGACAAAAAAGTAACTTTAAAAATATTTATAAAAATGTAAACTTTCGTAACTGAAACATAACCTACATTAGCAGGACTGCTTTGAGGCTTCTTTTTCAGAATCTCGTCTCCCTAAGTTGACTGACTTTTCTTAGTTTTAATAATGCTGATGCCCAGGAACATTCTGCTTAATATCTGGATAGAGCCAGCAATCAGCCTTTACCCAGGTAGTCCCTGATTTCCTAAACTGTACTGTGTTGTTGAACAAACACAAAGCCAACGCTAAAAAAATAGTTTGGAGTACTTCTTTCTCCTTCAGTGCTAGTAGCCCACTTTTATAGGGCTTGATGCTGAAGTGCTGAGCATGCAAGACTGTACTTTAAGGCAAAGGAAACAACAGTTTCTTAGGACCTCTGAGAAGCACATGGAAATCACATGGAAATGCTTTTGCTGAGTGCTGGAAATCTTGCCTATTTTCAGAGTTCACTCATGATGCTTTATGGTGGTTGATAAGGCCCTCTTTCCACTGTAGGTGAAGAATTAAGAGTCCTTCAGGCATGTTTTCACTGTCTGTTCTATAGAGGTGGCACCTGATGCGGATAAGATAAACACAGGAGTCACCTAGAGAACCTCGACTAGGGTTTTACTTGCCTCTCAAGACGGTTCTTTCTTGTGGTAGTTACTCTTAGAAGTGAACAAACTGTAGGCGTCAGCGGAAGCTTTTTAACTTTTTTTGAAAGCCAGTAAGTTGTTTCAGCCTTGACTGCAATCCCTTTCTCAAAGCAGTGCTAAAGTTTAATTTAGCCAACCTGTGCTTTCTGCATCTTTTCCAAAGCCTAGATTCAGTGAGCTGCCTTAATTCCGTGGTCATTTCCAGGGATCTTTAAGCTTAGGCTTCAGGGCTTTTATAGACTGGAGCTTATATGCATTTCAAATGTGAAAGGATGGCGTCTGTTTGCTAATTTACACTGTAGTAGCATTGCTCAGACTCTGGAGATAATATAAGGCCTCTGAACTTTGCTTTACAACAGTGATTTAAAATGGCTTCCCTTGCTGTTAGATGAGGACTATCATTGGTTTAGGGGAGGATCATGCAATGAGGGGAAGGAGCAGGAAAGAGGGACTGGGAATTAGGCCACCACCAACAGCAGGTTTTTTATTTGGCTCAACTATGTTGTCAGCACTATCAATTCAGTGTGCAGTTTCACAATCAGCTGAAGCAAGAATCGAAAGGGAGAGAAGGTCCTGCTCCCCTGCTTCTCTTGCTCCATATACAGCAATTCCAGTTTCTTGTATTCATCTTACCCTTTTTGCTCTTCCCAGATTAATTTTTCTGCAGGACAGTCAGTTGAGTTGGTGGCTAGTGGTGTGGAGAATTTGCATGGGCAGGAGAAATGGACTTGAGAGGGGAATGAGACTTCCTCCTTTGGTGAAAACATAGCTTTGGATTTTGAAGGCAAAAAGCCAGAGAATAGTTATTGTACTTATGCAATATATTACTCAAGCAGTAAATGTTTAGGGTCACAAGGGAGTACAAGCAAATGTCATAATAGAAAAAATACCTTGACAGTGCATTCTAAAATTCGGGTGTTGGGGTTCATCTTGTTCTTGTAAGCAGGAGCATTTGAAGGTAAAGCTTTAAGCAACTATTGCTGTTTCAAGTAACCTTTTTCCTTCTTTTTATATTGCCTTACTGGGAAGCATTACTGTCAGTCTTGAGTTTGCCTACTTTGGAAAATTCTGACATATATTTTTTGTGTATCCTGTATGCTCCGTTTGGGTGCTGGCACATAAATTTTAGCCATTTTTGGTGACTTGCTTTGGTTTTGGTAGTTCAAACGCTAAACTTTAGCTCCTGTTCTCACTAGCAGTAAGCGCATAATGTACTGATCCTGTAACTCCCCATTAGAAAAACATCTGAAAAATTATCTTTTTGGATGGAATTTTGTTCTAGGTTGAACAAAAATGAGATTCTTTACTACTTATTTTTAGGGGAGTTGCCTGAATTGCTTTCAGTGGCTCTCTGTCTTAGCTGGGTTTCTGTAAGTCAGAGCATTAACAGTTTAAGGTGTTTGCTGGAAATGACATGCAGCAGTATGTAGGGAGATCATTAGTTGGTGCGTGATGGGATGTCTGTTAATTATTAACTGTTAGGTTCTTAGGTCTTGTGTTACTCATTCTTCATCAGTTAGGCATATATCTATTGTTTGCATTTAGATTAAAGGCAGAAGTGCCAGTAGACTGTTGATACTTATGCTTTTGAAGTGCTGTTCCATCTTCTTCCATCACTTTTGACTTCAGTGGTTTTCAGGCACTTATGGTTAATGAGGCTAAATGTAAAAATTTACAGTTCATGTTTTGGAAATAAGACAACAGTTTTAAATCTTATTTGCAAAGATATAGATTGCTACCAAGTTATAGGACAACAGAAGATCAAACCTAATGTGACAAATGCATGCAGGAAAGATTAGGTTTTCATTTGTATTCAAGGCTAATCCAAAGCTGGTTTTGGAATGGAATGGAAAGGTATACATTGGTTTTCATGAGCTATGGGTCAGACTTCATGTGTAAGTAATATAACTTGATATAATAAAAATCTGATGTACATGAAGAATTGTGTGGTATTAGAGAAAGCAGTGTTATGAAGAGATTGAGCGGGGAGGGGTGGGTTTACAGTCAAACAAGTAAGCAAAATTAATCCTTTGAAGAGCATAGTATTTAGCTTGAAACAAATGGTACCTTGATGTTGCATCTAATGTTTTTGTTTTTTTTATTTTACTTTAGCTATATGGAAGCCTTGCTCTACCTTATCTATGCTTACCAGAATAACAAAGAACTCTTGTCAAAAGGTCCATACAGGGGGCATGATGAAGAGCTGATATCTCACTACAGACGAGAATGTTTGCTAGTAAGTGAAGAGTGAAGTGTTTCAAAAAGTTGAACTTGCTAGTTGAACTAGCTTTAATGAAATGAACTAGTAGACAAAGCATTGCCATTATTCTTTTAGAAAACTTGCGTTAACAAATTAATACCCTGCGTCAGACTTGTGTAAGAACAAGCAAAAGGAAGAACTGTGCAAAGTAAGAAGAAAAATGTTATTCCCATTGTTTGAATAATCATTTCTTTAACATTGTATATAGTGTACTCACTGCCCTTCTGTCTGGTGTAGATAGGCACAACAGTTGACAGTGTCGGTGAGCAAACGCACTATATTGCCACAGTTTGACAGGGAGACAAATAGTGGAAAAGGCATCATTGGGAAATGTTTGTTTTTTCTTGATTGTGTCACTTTTTCTAGACATAGAAAGAAAAGGCAAGAGTGGTAGGATGCAGTCTTCAAGAGGGGCAGCTACAAAGGCTGAGTTTTCAGACACCAGTTCAAGTGACTTGAACATCATCAAATCGTGTAGTACAGTGTATGGATCATTACTGTAAAAGTTAAAACTCAGATACGACTGTTAAAAATTAGCAGGCAGTTTTGTAGGAAGACTGTGCTTTAAACCAAACAAAAACTGATGCATGGTAAAACATGAAATGCTATATACTTAAAGGCTTTCTTTTTTGTGGTGGTATGTGAAGAAACTAAATGAACATGCTGCAGCACTGTTTGAATCAGGAGATGATCAGGAAGTAAATAATGGCCTGATCATTATGAATGAGCTTATTGTCCCATGCTTGCCATTACTACTGGTGGATGAAATGGAAGAGAAAGATATTGTTGCTGTGGAAGATATGAGAAACCGTTGGTGTTCCTATCTTGGACAAGAAATGGAACGTAAGTTATTTATTCATTAAGGTAAAAGGCTCTTACGCACCTCTAATGTCTTAGATAGTGTTTTAGATGTCTTGAATTCAGCCTCTATCTTTTGTTCACTGGTAATGTGTTTTGAGATACCCAGAGTTTTGTATACTCCCACACCCATTTAAATGGACAGCAGTTCTTCTGTGCACTGCAATGGGATATCAGGCCCTCCAGACATGATGTCTGGGTGTTTTTTTTGTTTTAGTTTTTGGTATTTTGAAGGGGGGGATGTTCATGCTGATAGTCTATTTAGAGAGGCATTTATATTAACATCTTTCTAGGAACCAGCATGTCTAGTTAATGCTTGGAGAGCTGAAGAAAGTAATTATTCCAAGTGAAACTCCTTTTCTTCCCACCCTCCAAAGAAAAAAAGAATGTTGAGCAGAAAAAGGAGAGTTCTACATGCAGACGTAAATGTTAATGTTTAGTTTTCTTTTTTTATTTGCAGCTAACTTGCAAGAAAAGCTGACTGATTTCCTGCCAAAACTGCTAGATTGTTCTACGGAGATTAAAGGTTTCAATGACCCGCCAAAGTTACCTTCCTACTCTACACATGAACTGTGTGAAAGATATGCGCGCATCATGTTGTCACTCAGTCGAACTCCAGCTGATGGAAGATAAATTCTGCAACCTTCCTAAGCACATTGTATAAACTTTTTTAGTTCTTAAACCTTGCCTTCCTGTCACAGGGTTTGCTTGTTGCTGCTATAGTTTTTAACTTTTTTATTTTAATAACTGCAGAAGAGAAATGACTGTACAAACTTTAGCCAGACTGCAAACAATTAAAGCTGAGAATCGCATGGGGCTCAGTCGTTTCAACCAGAATTGATGCAACATTGCAAGTCTGATTATTATGGCAAAACTGCTTTTTTGCCACTTATCTGTTACAGTATTACTTTGCTTTTATCTTGAGATCCTTTCCTTTATCAACAGCTGTCTGGATCATTTTGTGACTGCAACTACTTTAAGTGTCCAGTGCTGTGTAAATACATGGTACTTGGTAGCTTGTAAATGAAATGAAAGAATAAAATTTTATTTATGGCTACTCCTGTGTTTGCAAGCAGATACCTTGTATATTAGTGTAAAATACGGGTATTTTTGGAAGAGAAACAGTATATTGATGGGTTACTCAATTTATAGACAAGGTTCTTCAGGATTTATGGCCGGTTTAGCTACAGGTAGTTGGAGATTACTGTATGTGAATATACTGAAAAACTGTCACAGTGTTATACACTATGGTTTCTGTATATTCTTTACTGGTGTGTATGATACTGCATCTCAACACTTATGTTTGTGTGGCCATGGCAAGTCTATTCTGACGGTAGGGACTGGCTTCTGAAGCTAAATGATAACAGCACCTTCCTTCTATTCTTAGAAAGAACTTTTTAAAAAAACAAAACTATTTTCAGTAGAAATATATTATACATAGTCTCTCAGCAACATTTCTAGGCACTTATTTGAACAGAGAAAATGAGGGCTTTGAAAATGTGGGCTTTATAGAACTTAAGAGTTCATCAGTTTTTTAATTGTTATTTTAGTCATGTAAATGACCAGAAATAAAACCTTCCACTAATTCCTTACTTGAAATGGGTTGCTGATGTTGCAACAAAAGATCTTAGAGATCTTATATCTGCCCTAATTAAATTTGTGACAGAAATGAAAGAAAAAATCTATTGAGCTTGTTTTGTAGAGCTGAAATACTGTCTGATTTTAATGAAAAAACTTATTTTGTGGAAAAAAAAAATTATGTGTCTTTAGGTAATCCTGTTACCTAACACTATTTTGAATCCTACTCTTTATAGAAAACGTTTTGTGTTAGAACAGTAAAGTATGTAAATATTTGCTTGTATGTTTTTATTGGAGCGGCACTTGACTTTTTATTACAGGCTTTCTAGTGGGGTGTTTTCTAATTTCTACTAAAGAAATAGCACAGAGGGAAGGAAAGATTGATTAAGGTCAGACCAACAATAAATGTAATGGACATAAATGTAGGCCTCTCATGCAAGAAGAGGCTGAGTTCAATCTTAGCACATATCAGTCTTGAAAGTTTTTCACTTTTGAGATGTACTGGATTGTAATATACAGTAAATAGTGTGGGCTTCACTTCAAAATTTGTTAAAGGGTATTTTCCTCTTGTTTTCAGTATTACAGCCCTTTATATTTTGTCAATCCATACACTTATTTAATTAAAAATTTTCAAAAAAAAAAAATTCAAACTCACAGCTGCAGTATTACTCAGCAGGCTTTTTTTTGTTTTGATTTGTTTGTTTTGTCTGAAGCTATTGATGTCTGAAATTACTCCTTCTCGAGGAGAAAGAGATGTACATTGTGAAAAGGGTGAGGATGCATTTTATAGGATTTCATGTTTTGCATCTGTTGCACATTTCATTTGAAACTGAATAATATGCTTACTTAACACTATTTACTTTTAAACAAAGTTTTGAACGGATTCAGCTTGTCCTCTGCCTCTTCAATAATGCCAAAAGCAATTAAAAGTGAAAGAGGACTTACATTTCTTTAATGCTAACAGGTTTGGAATTCAAATGTTTGTGAAAAACTTTAAAGAGGAGCTCCCCTCTAGCCCTGCAGAGCCAGTTACCTACGTTCTCCCGTATCATCTGGGTAATCGTCTATGAAAAATAAGGGAAAAGACACTCTTTTTGAAGTAAAAGCAGGAAGAATATCCAAGGTCTTTAAATTATAAGGAAGCAAGCAAGAACAAGATTATTTGTTCTTCTAGTTTCGGAGTTTTTTTTCAGTTTCTTAAAATATGAAAAGAATTGGTAAATTCATAGCACTGAACGTAAATCTGTATTTATTTGCAATAACTGTTGAGTTTTGAGTAGGATCAACGTCTGTACAGTAGAGTAGTGCTGTGTGTGTGTGGTTTTTTGTTTTTGTTTTTTACTATTTTGGTATCTTTTAAATATCTTGTATTTATTTAAACCTACAGCTAAACAATTATGATATTGTTCTGTTTTTAAAATGCTTGCTTTATTTGTTTCAAAAATAGCTGTTAGCTCACAGGCACTGCCTCAGTACATAACCTACACAAGTATGTGTAAGGTAGTATAGCATACAGTTCATTTGACTACCTAATAATGTCACTGAATTACAAAAGTAGGTATTTTATCTTCAGTGTGGGAAACATGAGACTTTATCAGGCCTTTTCAGTGTATAGATCATAGAAGGAATAGGGGAATTTAACCCGAAGTCGTTTACTAGATCACCTGCATCATGAATTAAATGCAAGGTTTTTTGGGTT